CCTGGTGGACCCAGTTGAAGCCACTTGTGTCTCACATGTGCTGTGGATTCGGGGAGGGGCAACTTCCTGCACCTGTCAGGAGGATTGATGCTTTCTCCCAGTGGACTACAAGGTTTACATCTATATAATCTTTGAATATGTGTGTGTATAAAGATGTTATCTATTAGTGACTCTGTAGGAACTACATATATCAAGTAAATTGCTGTGTGTCTAAGTTGGAGAAGAAGAAGAAGGTCTCCCATGCTCTTATGCAGAGTGTAGGAGCGTAGGGTGGTGCCCATCTCCATTTCTGTAGCCCTTGGGCGACAAACAGTGGGCTAGTCTGCTGGTAGTGCTCTTTCTCATGTGCTGAGTGCTGAGCAGAGAAAGAAGTGTGTACCATTTTTAAAGTCTTTGGTATGACCCGGCCGGGGTTTGAACTCACGACCTCCCAGTTACAAAGCGAGCACTCTACCAATTAAGCTATTGCACCAGATTGCACCGATAAGTTGGAGAAGGTGAACTACATATATCAAATAAATTGCTGTGTGTCTAAGTTGCAGAAGCCTACAGCCACCTTTAGTGTCCTCATGAATTTTGCAAGCCAAGAAAATTGTATTGTAAATTTTCCCCATGATACAGGTATATCTTCTGTATTGCAGCGTACTTGATGACCAAACCAGTGCTGGAGCTTCCCCTGGTATGGGGGATGTCAGAAGTGACACACGGCTTGTGGCTGCAGCACTTTTCCATGGACTCAATACAAAATGCAGGTAAGAAAAGTTTTGCAATTGTGCTGTTAATAATCTTATGGTGTTAGAATTTTAAGAAATTGTAAGTGGGGTTAGGATTGGTACTTTGGAATCCTTAGTGGTCATGTCCTAACTTTCAAACTATATCCTTTACTGAAGTTCTTGAGTGTTCTATTCAGAGAAACAGCGGAATTGGTTGACTGGTGATGTTTTGCCTCTACAGGTCTCATACTGTGGACCCATCCAGTACTGCCAGAGTGATGAAAGCCATACAGGCACTGGGAGAGCCAGTGGGTGAAAAGGTACATTTTAAAGCACTCTCAATTGCAATTTCAAACACAAATAATTGGACATACTGTAATTCACTTTATGTTCACGGCAGCAAAATTTCACGGTCTGAGAAAAATGGACATGTTCACGTAACTATATGTTCACGGTGGCGACAGTTGTAGGAAAAAGAAAGTCCAGGAATTATTTGTTAACTGTATTGATAAGTTCACTGTGCAGAAGCAATAGTGAAAACAGTGAACTTATCAGTACAGTGAACAATCAGGAACATCAGGAATTACAGTACTCAAATTTTTGATTCCACAACACCAGTCTTTGTCCAATAATCAAAATCTACTGCTCCTGTGGTATCACTTAGGAGTGATATTCTGCAGTCAATAATTTGTATTGACCAGACCATTGACAAGCTAAGGCTAAGGCACACTTAATGAGAATTGTAAAAGCTTTATATGCTTCTGACAGCACACACACAACCTTACAAGGTTTCCATAGGATAACACACTGGTGACTCTGAAACATGTGCCCCCCAGGTTGCCTCCTGCCTACTGTTGATGATCATGTTACACTTGTCGGCAGTGGACTTCTCCAGCCAGGTTAGTACAATCAAGTTCTTAGACTTATACTGTCTCGTGATGCATGAGGCAGTCAAAATAGCCCAGCTTCCTCTGTCTGGGCCAATCTGAGACTGGTCAGTTCTTATTGATTGGTCGTTGGTGGTAAGAATACTGCAGAGTTGCTTGGATGGGAAAATGGAAACTTTTTTCAAATATTGAGCTGTTTCATTTTCAACACAGCTGCATTTTCTACACATTGACTTTTCTAAAAGGTGACAGCTGAGTGAATAGCGTACTAGGAGTACCAGTATTAAAGCCTGCTACCCAAACCTGTTTTAGTGCTAAGTCCCTTTTGTCCTCTAGCTAAAATAGGTTTTAATACATACCAGGCTAGGGGTACATGTATTTTGATTACTAGCCAGGAAAAAGGACTGCCTATAAGTTGATGGAGCTCCTTTTTTACCCTTTACCAGGAACCTAAGCCAGCCAACAGTCCATGGGTGAAACTGGCTCAGTCCCTACTGAACACCTACCCAGGTAGTCTGGAGGTCTTCACAGGTAAGAACTCTGTCATTCTTTGGAAATTTTCACATTTCAGTGAATCTTTAATCTACCCAAATGGTTCAGCTACTAGCATGAAAGTTCATCTGAATTGGTAAGATACATGAAGAAAATTAAACTGTTCTCCAACTCCAAAAAGAAATTAACTCACCAGAAATTTTCGACTGATTTGCACAGTTTTCATCAGCTTCATGGTGAGTTAATTTCTTTTTTGACTTTCTTCATGGTTCAACTAACTGCATGTGTTTGACTGTTCCCAATAGCAGACACTGAGAATCCTTCAACCCAGCCCAGACTGTGTCCAGACAGGATGTACCAGCTGGTGCCAGTTATGTTCTTCAGGTACATTGATTTGTCTTGTACATGTGTGTGCATAGAACATATGCATGGAAATGTATATACAGGAAGGAAGTATGTTGTGCAAGACAAGGTAGTTCTTTTGTGACTTTTTTATCAGCAGTGAAGCTGTGCTAATATAGTCCTAGAATAGTTAATTAACTAGTTAGAATAGCATTTTTGGTATCATTTTATTCTCCAACAGGTCTATTAGGAGCTTTCTTCATTAACTTATTTACATATCATATTAAGATACATATTTATGTACAGGTTACTCAGTACTCATTGTCAGTACATGCATATGATGAAAGATGGCAAGTGTTATCTGAAATGTACAACTCTTTAGAGGTTTTAACGAGTTGCTTGATTATGTTTACCGAAGGAAAACATATTGTTTTTGCTCAGTTTCCTCTTCCTCCTCTAAACACTAACCGCTGACCTGGCCAATGACCTGCTCTGTTGACCTCAGTCACCATGGTAACTGGTGTTTGGTTACATAATGTTGCAATCTTATAATAGGAGGGATTTAGACTCCTGTCTGACCATACATGTATATATGAATGTGTTTGAGTAAGAATTAACAGAGCAGACCATATCATATGTGAAGGTAAACATCATGCATTTGCTTTGCAAATGTTACCTTTCTAGTTTCTTTTGTATTATGTTACATTCTTTTGTTTCCCACATCCTCCCTACCCAGGACTCTTGTTGCCTGTCCTGTGGACATCCTGCAGAATCCCAGGTTCCTCCCCACTGCCCTTTCCATGCACCTCAAGGTCAACGGACTGTACCAATCTGTTGGAGGGGAGGAGGTGTGGGGAGGAGCAAAGGCCACGTACAGGGTGAGACCTTCATAAGTTCTAAAGTCAAAGAAAATTTTGAAATTTGTGGAAATTTTGAAATTTGTGGAAATTTGGAGAGCTGCATAAACTTTGATTCTATGGCTAATATATAACTTAATTTCAATTATGGTATCATGTTCTAAGTTTATAAGGACTAATCTTCATTTAATTATTTCATTAGGGCCAAATTCTTACCTTGGACCTGATGGGCCAGATTACCAGAATCCTGATGCACTGTATCCCACAATGCAGTGAGGAATCCCTGAGACAGTTAGACATGGTAGGTACAATTCATGTGTAATTTATCATCTACAAAATGTATTTGTAGTTTTATGGAAAATTTAACATTGGGTTGTTCTGTGCTTAAATATGTAAATGTTAAATGTTGGCAACTCTGATTTTTGATTCTAAAACTATTTTTTTTTTCAGGATGTCCTAGCCAAGTGTGACCCAGATATTCAACATCAAGTAAAGAAAAGGTTATCATGTATATGAGCAGCTCATATAAGGAAAAACAACTTACAGTTCAGATTTACAGAATCACTGTTTCTGCTGTGTTATAGTTTTGTACTTTGAAAAGTTCATTCAAAAGACTTGAGACATTATTTGGAATTCCATTAGTGGTGGGCCCAAAAATATTGCAGTGGGTGCTTGCTTAATGAATGTTGTGACTACTAATGTTAATTTATTACATTGTACTAACATTACTATCTGTAATAGTGATGGTAAAAAATCACACACCATTTTCATATATTTCAGGATTTATTCCATATTATAATAATAATTATGTGATTAAATTATACATAATTCATACTCCCCACAACATTTGATTATCCACTTTTCATTGTTCCATTTGATGTGAACAAAAAAGGGAAACATGGAGTTATAAGTTCACCATGATGGCATCAGAATGCCTTTCACTGATTTTTATACACTTTAATGAAAATTTAAAGTTTTGAATGTAATATTTGCCTTCTTTTTTTGTTGGTATCATGAACTTTTTTTTCAACAGACTTCAGTGCCCATCTACACAATGACGAATGTTACCCTCTTATTGAAACTTCTACAGTGATGACCCAGTTATCCCAGTAAAACATCTACTTGTGCTATCTTACAGCTTTGATCAGGTACAGTGGGTTGGTGGAAAAAATGGTCCAGTCTGGACCGGGTAAGGGGGTGGAAAAACCGGTCTGACCCTGTCTGTTCTACCCTGGCAGTGATAGAACTGCATGTAGTTTGGTACCACACTGATGTGTCCCGGATATCCCAGTATAAGATGTGCCAATTGGCTAATGTTGATGTTTTTGTTTAAGGCCACACCAATTTAATTTGTTGGTTCTCGGATTTTTTCAGAAAAAATATGAAGCGACAGGGCGAAAAAAAATAAAAATAAAAACAGGTCTAGGCATCCTATTATAGGCTTAAATGCTACAAAATGAGCCATGAAGTCAACACAAAAGGCTGGGTTAAAATTTGAACATTGAATTTTGAACTTTTAATCAAACCACTGCATTGATAGATGGCAAAACTGTAACAACTAGGAAGAAAAGGACTTTCCTCAACTGTTAGGGGGCAAAACATGAGCATATCCAGTTGATTCAGGACCAAAATCAATTTTTTTTTTTTTGTCAAATCAGAAAAAAACGAAGAGGCGAATCCGAGAACCAACAAATTAAATTGGTGTGGCCTAAGATTCGATTTACGCTGGAAGATTGTTGAGTGATGGTGGTAAGGCTGGCTAAAACCCATGCTGGGATAACTATAATTCATTTCAAACTACCTGCTGGTGTTGGTCATATAGTTATCTTGCCTACTACTATAGTATCCATCTCTATTTCCGTCCACCAATCCAAAAAATAGGTTTGATTTTTTTTTGTCACAATTTGTAAGAGAATGAGTCTGCTACCCCAAGTTTAGACACACAACAGCTAAAAAAACTATAGGTCTGGGAGAAAATTATTCATTTTTACGTTTTACGTTTTTACTCATTTGTAGTTCCAGAGCCTTCCACAAGTGGTTCCCTTGGAGCTTCAGATGGGGTTGTTGCAGTCTGAAATAAAATCGAATACAAAATATAACCCTTAAAATTTGAGTCACTTTGCGTTCTCTAACAAATTCAGATTATTCTGGTTGCTACAGGACAAGCAATCCATTCGATAAGCCATAAGTCTTAAAAAAATTGCCAACATTTTTTACCAGAGTGTACGGTTTGTACTTGTACTGTGCTGGACCAGACTTGCCCACAGAGTTATATATTAAAACTCAATACTGTTAGACAGAGAAATGACACAGTTCAACAGAGGATGATTTCAGAGACAGGACAGCACAAGATGTGCACTTCATCTGTAATCAGAAAAAAAAGGCACAGATATGTAATTTGAAGTTTGATTTCAGCATATACTGCTCTGGATACCATATCTAGCAAGTAATCATAGGCAAAATAGTTGCAAAATTTCACTCTTATTATTGTCTTAGGCCACAGCAAGTAATTTTTATGGATGACATCAGCGCGCGCATTAATTTTTGCGTGATTTGGGGAAAAAACGATAAATTTTGTTTCCCTCTGACAGTGATGTCTGTTCTCACTCTGTTGCCATGTCGGAACGTGGATGGCAGATAACTATGAAAAGAGGAGACAAGAAAAGGCTCTGATTTAATTGTTTTTTTTTACTTTATTATAAATGCAGTGATATGTGCTGGTGGCTTTGTATATGATGTTCCCACTGAATCAAAACCAATTCTACAATAATTGAGTCAAAATTTTAAAATATAGGAACCTTGTTTTTTCGGCCGGCCATGTTTTTTTTAACCCGCTCACATTAGATTTGGAGTCTGTAGAGGATGCCATCCATAAAATTTACTTGCTGTGGCCTTATGACTTGAATGGACAAACCAAAGGGAAGAAGAGATGTAAACATTAGTGTGGATCACAGTGTACTAGTAATTGGGCAGGTAGATTTGGAGAGTCAGGACAGCGAGGCAACACCTGGTGAGTGTAGTGTACCTGTCCGTGCACACCTGTCGGGTTCACATGTTGTCGTACAAGGTGTTATTGAGGACTGCCCGCAGCAGGCTGACACGTGACCCCTCCTTATAAGGAAGTACAACCACCACCTGTCATTGTTAGTTACAACCCTGCTGCACTACGCACCAACGGGATATCGTTACAACAACAGAGAATGCCAACACAGGGGTGCCAGAGCATACAGTGCAATTTTACGGAATCACAGTGCAATTTTACGGAATACAGTGCAATTGTACTAGTAAAATTGCACTGTATACTAATGTGATTGCACTGTATTCCGTAAAATTGCACTCTATTCTAATAAGATTGCACTGTGTTCTGTAAAGTTGCACTGTATACTAGTAAAATTGCACTGTATTCCGGAAAATTTCACTGTATACTCTGGCACCCTTGTGATCTAACCTAGCCTGGGTACAATCCGGATTTTCGCTCCGGAAACAAAAATTTCGAGCGTTGCGGAGCGAAAATCCGAATGGTACCCAGGCTAGATTTAATCTCAAGCAAAGCAGAAATGCCGCCAGACTCACTGAAAACATGATGGAAGAAAGGCGTATTAGACTGACATGTTGATGTTCTGTAAGACAAGTTAGATCAGTAAGATGTATAAATATCTTCCGAAATCTTACGTACTCTGTCGTCTGCTGAAAGAAAGGTTAACTCTTATTATTCATCATTGGACATGTTGGATCTTTCCAGGATTTGTAATTCAATGACATTTGAATACTAGTAGCCATTTCTAACTGAAATCATCACCAAACGTCGGATTTGAGCATTATTGTCCACAAGGAAAATTGTTTTCTATTCATCATTGGATTTTTCGCGATTCGTTATGTAACCATCTCGGACTGAAATCATCCACTGTTAATTCTGTGATCATCAAACACCGGATTTGAGTAGCCTCCTGTGCAGGCCTCCGGGCGGGTGGGGGTTTTGATACTGCGTTTTGTAGAATTTTTAACGCGTTCTTTTGCCGGCCATGGTATACAACCAGCCACCCAGAGAAGGTTTGTACCCGCCAGCAAACATGAAAATTCTACAAAACGCATTATTAAAACTTCAGCCCGAAGGCCTGCACAGCAGGCTAGGATTCGAGCGCTAATCAGATCGAAGAACATAACATTTCTCTCGCACTTACCTGCGGCGCGGACGCACTTCCCGACTCCTCTTCGTCATCAAATTTATGGTAGAGAAATATTTCTAGCGAAGTGGTGTGTGATAGAGCCACAAGAACGCAGTAGATCTGGACAAACATAGTACACAAAACCAAATATATTAATAAAATATACCGGGGTCTCTGTCATTTATTTACTCACCGAGAGTTTCTAGTAGTGACTGTATTGCTGTCATTTTCATGCGTAACACATAGGGCTTCCAAAACTTATGGAAAGATTTTGAACGTGCCTGTAACGTTACATGGTGCTGAAAATACAAAACTAGCATTTTTGCACTGAGTGTACTGTACACGTATTATCCACGAAAAGCAAATGTAGATAAACTTCCTTAGATGATGTTAGGTATGTGACTTACATTTGGGATAATACGGCAGACCATGAATGCTGGAAAGAACGGATGTACGAACAAGCCCTGTAGGGAAAAAATGAAATGTCTTGTCAATCACGGAAAACTGGTGCAGGCTGCAGACTATGCATGATGTACAAAATGACAAGTATCTGTCCAGAAAAGAACAAGAAATAGTCATGCCTTCAAGTACCACATGCAGCTATCTAGGACTGAGGGGTACAAAACTCGTTTTTAATTTTCTAGAACTATTGTAGAGTGGAACTCGATGCACCAAGTACAGTTAGGGTATCTTCACTTCTTTAATCTTTACAATTCTACATGACCCTCCGGATCCCTTATATTTGCAATTAGAATATTGCTTTTTATAGTATATATTACGTTTAATTCGTTTTTGGACCTCCAAAAAAGTTATGGTACGCTCGGATATGGCATCGGCCATTCAACGAAATGACATCGACCGTTTCAAATGACATCGACCGTTTACGAGACGGAAAATTGCTGCGCCTCCCATGGCTGATCATTTCGTTCTGTGATAGAAAGGTTCCTCAGCAGTACTTACCGCTTCCCATAGTACAGCTCGCTGGTACATCTGAACTGCGATCTCTAAACACGTGAAGGTGATGACTGCCGCTGCCCAGGACTTCATCACTACAATTCTGTCCTAAAAATATGTAAAAACAAAGTATAATAGTCTAAATATTGATAAATCATAGTAGGTTCAAGATTCAAGAAGTCTAGCTTTTTTTTCAACTTTCGCAGTGGAAAACTTTCGAAGTCACTGAATTGCAGTCAATTTACAGTTATTCACGCTGAGTGACATATAATGTTGCATATAATTTGGATTCGTTTAGTTGACAAAACTTGAAATACTTACAAAGAAATTTTGTTATAGTACTGTAATTGTCAGTACTATCAAGTTAATTTGGTAACGTTAGATCAATGAGGTTCGGTCATTTTATTAAATTAAAGAGCACTAGCGGCCGAGACTTGAAACCCGAATTCTGACCAAGCAGAAGATTATATAATTCCACTCTACTCTTGAACGGTGAAATCGTGGTAACTTACTTCGTTGCGTTAGCTTTTCCTCACTAGTCCAGGCTATATTTCCTAATCAAGTATTAAATGTGTTACGTATCCTTCTTCCATGTTTTAACACCTTCCTTTTCGTTGCTCGACACACTGCTTCTTTATGTTTACCAAAGGAAAACATGTTGTTTTTGCTCTGTTTCTTCTTTTTCCGTTCCACACACTGACCTGGTCAATGACCTGAACCAGACCGTCTGTCACCATGGTAACTGGTATTGGGTTACATAATGTTGCAATTTCATAGTCGGAAGGATTTAGACTCCTGTCACCATATATGTGAATGTGTTTGAGTGAGAATTAACAGAGCAGACCATGTGCGAAGGTAAATATTATGCATTTGCAAATGTTACCTTTCTAGTCTTATCATAAATTTGTGTCTTATGACATTTACCTTGTTGACTGCGTAGATGAAGCCCACAGACCACAGTAATATGGTGATGTACATGGCAAAGTTAAGGTAGATCAGACCTCTGGCGTACTCCACAGCTGTGACAGTAAATTAAACAACCACAGTGGTTAATGACATTCATTACAAATCTCCATAAAATAAAACAGCTTATGTTCGATGATAAGAAAACAAAACTTAAGCTTGGTTATATTGTGATATTCACTGACAGCAAAGACAACAATCACAGTGTTTATGTCTTTATTTATTTATTTAACCAGAGAACATATCGCCCTGAAGGGTGGATAACATTCATACGAATTAAGTGCAATGAAATAAATGATTACTTCATGTTTGATGATAATTTTTAAAGAATTGTTTAAAGGCACCTTTTTCGCGTCTTGGATCGGATTTGTGGTCCCCCTTCTTCATTTCCAGGTCCCAGACCTCCGCGCCGATACAACAAGCACTGATTATCTGAAACCGAACCATGCGTCACGGGTTAGCTCTGCTTTACGAAAGACCACAGGAACAATTTAACAAGGCTTCATCGGGTCAGTTCTCATCGTTCAAAACTTATTTCTCATCGTTCAAAACTTATTTCTCATCGTTCAAAACATATTTCTCATCGTTCAAAACATATTTCTCATCGTTCAAAACCCATTTCTCATCGTTCAAAACAGATTTCTCACCGTTCAAAACCCATTTCTCATCGTTCAAAACCCATTAATATTTCTCAACGTTCAAAAGGTTTTGAACGATCGAAGAGAAATGGGTTTTGATCGGTGAGAAATGGGTTTTGAACGGTGAGAAATCTGTGTTGAACGATGAGAAATGGGTTTTGAACGGTGAGAAATATGATAACAAGATAGCCCTTTGTATTCATTCGCATCTCCACCTGCGCGTATCTTGGCATGTCTGTTCTATGATTGGAAAATGACCTCATTAGTGAAAGTGTCTCGTGTAGAACGAAGTGATCAGTGTCTTGCGTACCGACAACATTTGTCAGCATACTTGTAACCTACATGTTCCACAACTTTTATTAAGTATCGGACGTTTCTATTTGTGTTGTCATACATACCCTGCAGGCATGGGGCACCTCAACAACTTGCCAACTGGCTCCCAACACAACCAACTGTTGTCCAAACAGTTATTCTATCCACTTTTATGTACTAAAATAAAGTCTAGTTAAACATTAACCAGGGGTTCCAGAGTATACAGTGCAAGTTTACGGAATACAGTGCAATTTTACTGGTATACAGTGCAATTTTACGGAACTTCGTACAGTGCAATCGTATTAGTATACAGTGCAATTTTACTAGTGACGGTTTAACTCTATTAAAATTGCACTGTATTCCGTAAAATTGCACTGTATACTAATATGATAGCACCGTATTCCGTAAAATTACACTGAATACTCTGGCACCCCTGTTAACTGTCTTACTTCAAGCCTTTGCCACTTAATGACTTGCACGAGATTGGACACAGTTCAACGCTGCCAGACTCCATGACCTTTTAAAGTATTTGTGTGACATTTGGCCGAGGTGCAGTCACCATGAAGAAATAATACTAGTACCTACGCATCTTGGGTACTAATGACACTTGTTTGAACAGGAGGATTGCCGTTTGCCTGTCTCTGTTATGTCTGAAGCCTGGCTGTTCGTTCGTCTGCTAAAACAAACTGCATTGAGCACACAAGCCAGTCTTAACTTAAGACTATGCACGAGTGGCCTGGGGCAAAATTCACCACGCATTTTCGAAAAACAAATATGTACATACTACTTACCACCATATAAGCACCACAGATATAGCAGCCCCTCTTCAGCGTTGTGAAGCAGGCTGTCCGAAACGGCAGACACAATTCAAACATTTTAGCTGGAGGTGTATAACCAACCGCAGAGTCCGGAGAAAAAGTGTAGACTGGAATGAAAACACCCAGTAGGGCCCTCTCTGAGTCTGCTACCGTAGACTGATTTTAGCTGCCTCGCAGTTGTTGTGTTGTTGCACCAGCTGGTAGGCAAACCGAGTTCTTGGCGAGGAAACAGTTCCAACAGTCTCTCCTCCTTGTGTAACACGGCGGTAGAATGCAGACAAGCAGGGCAGCTCACCTATATTTTAGGCCAGGTGTTCTGATCGTCCGCTGCTACATACGGCCCACCGACCTGCTCAAAACTTGTCCTGCAGGATACTATTAGCACTCCGGGTTGAGTGAACTTACGCCCCGTCTGACTGTTAGACAACTTAAATTGTCTGCCAAGACGAGTCTTGCTGCAGTACTATGGCTGTCTGATGTATTTTGGCTTGTCAGTCAATCCAAGACAACCCACCGGAGTACTCGTAGTTGAATCACTGGGTATTACATGGCAAAGTTACCGGAAACACTGCAACAAAGCTATGAATGTACCAGAACTGGTCATGTGAACGTGTATAAGTGAGGGCAACATCCGCAGGCGACCCTTACGTCATTCTGCCACTCGTGTTTGAATTGCTCATGCCAAGAATGACTCGTGGGGGCGTGAAGACTCGTGTTTACCGAGCGTGCTAGTTTTAGAACGAGTTGTCGTGCCAGGGGCAAATATCACTTTTAAGGAAGAAGGCAATGCCACAGCATAAGTTTTAACGAGCACTGTTTTCCCCAATGGTGAAATAAATGATTGATTGAAAATCTAGATCTTTAACTTCCTTAGTTAAATCAAGGGAGTTAAAAACAAGAACACCCGGGTTGGTCTGATTTTTAAAACTGCTAAAACAGTTAAAACTGCTGCCCCAAGCGACTTTCTTTGGTACTGTAGATAAACTTTTCATCTTTTAACTTCCTTGGTTAAATCGAGGGAGCTAAAAACAAGAACACCCGGGTTTGGTCTGGTTTTAACTGCTGCCCAAAGCGAGTTTCTTTTGTACTGTAGATTAACTTTCATCTTTTTTGCTGCTTTTAATCAGAACAAGCCACGGTTATGATGTTTGAGTGATACAAAACTACATTGTATATACTGGGGTCATGATGAAAAGTTAGAAGTTTGTGTCGCTTTGTAGATTTTTGTTTGGTAACTACTGATGTGCAAGGTAAGAAAACAGATGTAAGTATCAGAGTAGCTTCATAAAGTTGTGCTTATGTATTCATAAAGATTTAGACAAAAACTACATCATATAAGTAGAATTTTGTCATGTTTATTCGGTAGTGGTGACTTCCATTCCACAGCATTTTCAGATAGGTCATCATAATAAGATTATCAAAATCACACAACATTCTGGTTCACACATCTTATAGCATAGACTCCTCAGTACCTCAACATTTCAATGCAAAAAGAACTGAAGGAACTTGTTTAGAGCTCCTTACTACAGCATACGTCTCTTTCCTTAAGTTCATATCATTACACTCATTTGAAAACATGTAGATGAATGTAAGTGAATAAGTTAGCCAATCGTTCTGCTGGATATTAGTAGACACCTGATCACAATTTTCAAAGGGAAAATGTAGGAAACTTTTAAAATATATTGGAGGGCCTTGTAATATCATCTCTAGAGTCTACAATATAGGATCAATGTATAGCAGATCTTCTTATAAACTTAGAGACAGACTGGAAAGTTTCAAAAATTGCAGTTAAAATTTGTTGCAGACTTACTACTTTCAGATAAATAATTCCCCAACATTTTCCTTAAGCTTCTTTTTGAGAAAAACTGTGTCTTACACTAGCTGAAAGATACAGTCACATCCAGAAGGTATCAATACACATTACAGACGTTCAGTCATATCGTAATAGGCTCCAAATTAGTCATATTTTCATAGGAGGCTTGCAAAGAAATTTGTACCTGAAGAAGGAAAAGAGAACATACGTGTATCACTCCCAAACGTTGCTCAAACAATGGCACTCCTTTTGTTATGGAGAACTATTCTACATTTTGCACCAATCTGTGTTTGTAATACTTGTACATATTTTCTTCAGTGTTCACCATCACACTTTACCAGTATCATATGTACACTGTAGTAGTATTACATTAGGCCACACCAATTTGATTTGTTGGTTCTCAGATTTTTTCAGAAAAAATATGAATCGACAGGGCGAAAAAAAACTGAAAATAAAAACAGACCAAGGCATCCTATGATAGCCCCAAATGGCATGATAGGAGCCATGAAGTCAACATATCAGGCTAGTTTGTAATTCAAACATTAAATTTCAAACCTTTAGTCAAACCACTGCATTGATAGATTGTAAAAAATTGTAAGAACTCTGAAGAGAAGGGACCTCCTTTAACTGTTGGGAATAAAATATGAGCTTTTTGGATTTGATTCAGAGGCTCAAATGTTTTTTTCTTTTTTTTTGCAAATCAGAAAGAAATGAAGCGGGCGAATTCATGAACCAACAAATTAAATTGGTGTGGCCTTAGCAATGGAAGAACGGTTTCAGGGGGTGAATACAGTCAAATTCATGTTTTCCACCCAGTCCTTTCTTTTTATTGTGTCCTCTTGCTTCATGTTTACTTAACAATGTCCAAGAACCAGTTATCTACAGTCAGCACGTTGGCAGAACGTATTGAGCCTGCGCAAAACCCTGATTTTTTTTCAGTTTTTGTTGGATGTTTGGTCAACATTCCATCAGAATTTTGCCTGTTGCAGAGTATATCTTTTCCAACACAACATCTGGAAACTACAGACGGAGTGATAACTTTATATGCGTGAATACGACCTTATATGAGACATTCTGCTGAAATGCTATGTACAATACATTATGGGTTTCGCGCAGGTGCAGTACGTTCTGCCAAAGTGCTTCTACAGTGGCAGTTGTCAGTGTCTGTGATGTTGATGTTTCCCTCCTGCCGCGAGTTTACTGGCCGCCGTGCCAGCGCAACCTTTCATAAGGATGGGGACGACCTCGATAACGTCCGACTCGTCGCTGGACGCCTCGCTGGAGTCGCTGCTGTAGTTGTACGCGCCCAGCCCGGGAAGCACCGCCACCACCTGCGCTGTCTGTAACTCCAACGGAGGGGCGTCGTCTGTTGGTGTTCTACTGTCGTCTGGTGATGTCTGCTCTGTTTTTGTATCTGTGTGGACAGTTAGATGTAGCCTGGTTACCAAACCTATTATAGCTTCCGAGTCCTACAGCCTCTCTGCAAATCGCAAATTCGTTATGAATAAAGCAGGTCCAGACCTATTTGCAGAGGGGCTGTAGGACTCGGGAGCTATAATAGGTTTGGTAACCAGGCTAAGTTAGATGCACATACACTGACAGATTGGAAGATACAAAGGGCTGCCAAAATGGACAGGATGGTTGAACTAGTGTTAGAAAGAAGGATTCAATCTGCTGTTTGTAATTCCACAGCAAGACTGTCATCTGTTGTTGTTTTACTGTCGTCTGGTGGTGTCTGGTCTGTTGTTGCATCTGTGTGGACATTTAGATGCACATACACTGACAGATTAGAAGATACAAAGGGCTGCCAAAAATGGATAGAATGGCTGTATTAAAAGGAAGACTCACCATGTGAAGAACTGTCTTCAGACTGTCTGGTTACTTTTGGAAGACTGCTGGTATCTTTGACATCATCACTGCTGCTTCTGGAAAGTACAAGTAACAAAATGTGTCTCAAAAGCTTCTATAACTTATGATAAAATAATGTTTCCCTTCGCATATGGTATGCTCTGTTAAGTCTTACTTAAACACATTCACATATATGGTGCCAGGAGTCTAAATCCCTCCTACTATAAAATTGCAACATGATGTAACGCAACACTAGTTACCATGGTGAGAGACTGTCTGGTCATTGACCAGGTCAAAAGTCAGTGTTTGGAACAGAAGAAGAAACTGAGCAAAAACAATATGTTTTCCTTCAGTAAACATAAAAAAGATTATCTGTCATGCCCAAAATAAGTTATCTCTCCAACCTCTTTCTCTTGACAGCCCCAGCCAGTAGTGCCTGTTGGGACTTCCTGGGTTGGTTTGCTGCTGGTTTGTTGGCGGGTCTCTTGGCACTTTGCTCCTGGTGCGGCTGTGAGGCACTGCTAGTTGCTGCACCCTCAGCTTCATTGACGAGTTCTAGAGCTTTGTGTGAAGTGTTAAGGGAACAGCACAACTAAGATGATCAAACCATCATGAAAGTTCATCTGTGTTGGTAGTTACATGTTTAAAGTTAAAACTTTTGGTCCAACACAAAAATTCTCTCACCTAGAGCTTTCGACCAGTCACTCTGGTCTTCCTCAGTAGACTGACCCAGTGAGGCTTGTCACATGGCTTCTTTGAAGTGTGACGTCAACACTGGGTCAAAGGTATCTGGTAGACAATGTCGGCCCCCATCGTGGTTCAGTGAAGGGTGATGGGCCCTGATGTATATATGGCTTCCTTCACCCCTCTCAAGAAATAGTCTACCAGATGACCCAGTGAATTTAGCTTCTCCTCCCTTCTTTATGGGGGTGAAAATGTAAGAACAGATACGTTTTATGATAAAGATTAAACAAAATACTTTGGGACATTTTATTTTTCCTTCCCACAAAAATCTGTTGTCCCCACTGAGTGACACCCATCCCATTCTATGTAACTTTTAAAATGGACCATTCCTATGAGTATAAGGATATTCTTTGCTCCCTGATGACCTCCCACTCCTCTTGTCTCTTCTGTCTCTCTATCTTGGCTCGGATGTTGTCCACCTCCCCGAGGAAGTTTGTCTCCTCCTCTTCCAGCCCTCGAAACTGGTTCTCTGAAAAGGGGTTGGATACTAGTATGTAAGCCAGGCAGCAGCATCAGGCTAAAATGTTGTGTTTCCTGTTTCCCAACCGACCCTAGAAAAACTTGCCGACCCTAGACTTTTTTTGGTGGTGGACCCCTGCAAGGGACATCATTTTTTGAGCTGATCAACCTTTTCTAGCTCCATGATCTGACACGGTGACACCTGAGTGATAAAACATTGTACAATTGGTTTTCTAACATTGACATTGAAAACAAAAGTGTCCTCATGCAAATTTTTCTTTACTGCAAAGGAAGAAATGATTCATATTGATGGATACTTATGTCAACACTAAGGTGTTCTTGGTTAAGGAGTAAGAAAAGAATTCCTGGAAAGGCTGGAATACTTACTGAACTTGAACTGTTCTTCAAACTCTGCCTGTTTCTTCTCCTTCTGTTCCTCCAGCCTCTCAAACAGTGAGCGGGGGTCGTACTCCTCCTCTGGGCATTCTGGATGGTGGGAGTGAAGGTTTAAGTAATAACAAGTTCTACTCATTCCTATCCATGTACTAACATGTATTTCACTTTCCCATCAATAACATGATATTGTTGTCATTGTTTAGTTTAGTGTCTATTTTTCCACTAGACGTGGTGTCCTCACGTTGTTCATCTCTTTATATAATCACAGAATTATATATATCTGCGACATGCCTTCGTGTACACAAAATGATTTTTAATTTAGGAAAACAACGATATGCGTACTACTACATGTAGTATGCCATATGGGTAAACAAAGTTGACGTTTAACACCTAGAAACATGATCCTCCGAAAATTGTAACTTACTGGAACTAACAATCTGACAGATGTTTATGTTGTTAAATCAAGTTTAAACCTTCTTGATTAAATCATACATAATTTTAAGTTGACACAAATTTTGGACCGTTTCGCATGTGCCTGGTTTACAAACCTTCGGGTTGGTCGTCTGTTCTCACTTTCTCCCATTCTTCCTGACGTTTCTTCTTCCTCTCTTCTATCTGTGCTTCAGTCACAAACGATATGCCACTGCCTGACATGCTGGGGTCACGTATACGACTACTTTTCGTTCACAAAGTTCCAAAAAACTTCGCCGCCCTCCCTCTTTCTTACATTTGGCTGTAAGGACCCCTTTCCCACAATTCCTCAGATTTCGGCTGTCTTTTATAATCGAAATACTGCCTACAAAAGTGCACCCCAGAATATGTCTTTAACTTAAAAATATTGGGAAAATTTTACAGATACTACAAGAATAAACTATTCTTATGTAAAAAACTGTAATTTTTTCCATGGATAAGGCTATTTTTAATGATTGTTTGAAAGATGATGGTCATCAGTTTTTACAGGCATAACAAAAACACAACGCTAGCCGCATATTCCGTAGGTGAGCAAGTAGTTTCGACGGTCGAGCAAGAGAATGATTTTGCAGTATTGAGACTAAATCGAAGAAATCGTCTTGAGGGAAAACACAGGATGGATGAGCTGCTGTCAGACGGAGAGAAGAACGCCAAGACGGTGACGTGCCAGCGCTGCGGCAGTGTAGTACTGAAACCCAACAACGCCACGCTGGTCAAGAAAGAGGTGAGACCGCCCCCCTCCCCAACATTTTCGTTTTTGAAAAGCATGTTCAGTTTGATCAAGGAGCTTTAATTTTGGTTTGATGCTTTACGTACCTCTCTACCCCTCCCTAAACTCACCTCCCCCACCGCTCTTTCCCCTCCCAAAACCATTTATTTCTTTGGGGAATTTCTTTACAGTAGTATATAGTACCATGGAGTTAGAACTAAGGCACCATTTTGATTTGATTATATGGATGACGTCCTGGAACCGCAAAACTGATGCGAGCGTGCGAATTTAAAAAATAGTTTAGGAAAAAAAGAGTTGCTTTCATTATGAAATCTATGTGGTCATGAAGGTTGGACAAGTGACACAGAGTATCGTATCACTATGGCGAATAATCTACTCTTCAAATTAATTTCTTTATATCTTTTTTGCTTGATTTTGGCATTCTATGACATTGGTATCATTTTCCAATCTTTTTTTTTGCAAGTTAGGGTGTATATTTGCTCATTTTGCAACTGTTTTGTACGATTTACAATATGGTTGAAATTTTTTTTTTATTTGGAAACGGCCGAAAATTAATGCAAGCGCGGATGTTATCCATATAATCAAATCAACATGGCCTAATACATTGGAAATGATATTTTGCAGTGGAGAGCTTATCCAACCAATAATGCCTTTTGGGTTCTCTGTTTTGCAGAAGTTTCTCCCCAGTATGAGAAAGAAGTCGGAAGGAACAGACCAGGCCGGAGACACCCTTCAGGAGTTCTGGCTGGTGACGGACATGTACACGTTCGAGAACGTCGGTTTCACCAACACGGTAGAAAACATCAAGTTCCTCATCTGTGCGGACTGCGAAATTGGACCAATCGGGTGGCACGATCTCAGTGACAAGCAGGCCTTCTACGTGGCGCTAGAGAGGGTGGAACATAAATAGTGAAGCTGTGATAGGGGTTTCCAGTATTCTTTACACCACTTGGCACGGAGGGGTTGCAAGTATTCCTTTCTTTCCAAATGGAATATTTGGGAATTTTAGGATAAAAAAGATCATCAAGTGTGTGGTCAAATTAAGAAGTGACGTTAAACCATGAAACTGTGATAAAAATTTGACAACTTATGAGTGAAGCTCAGAGTCCCCCTCTTTGAGTTTGTTTTTACCTATTTACTGACAACAAAAGTGGCACTAAATATATATGTTGGGGGTCAACAAACATGTAAGGCAACAAAGTTGTGGTGATGGATATGAAGGGCGCTATGAAAATAATGCCCATCTTTCCCAAAATGCAATAAATGGAACATCCCTTACCACGTTGCATACCTTTGCACCATGTGCACTATTCCATTTTAACTGAGATGCACTTAAGTGTCCACAATCATCAATTTTTCTAGAGATAGCAGTTATATAGATTGACATGTTAATGCTGCATTGAATCAATGTCCTCGTTTATTCAGCATCATAATAGAAAAGACATAACTGGGATAGAAAAAACATGAGTCTTTCAGTGTCATGAAAATTCATCTGTGTTGGTAGTTACATGTTTAGAGTTAAAACTTTAGATCCAACACAAAAAATTCTCTCACCTCAAGCTTTCAACCAGTCACCGGGGGCCACTATACCTTTGACCCAGTGTTGACGTCACACTTCAAAGAAGCCACCTGACAAGCCTCACTGGGTCAGTCTACTGAGAAAGACCAGAATGACTGGTCGAAAGCTCTAGCCTAAGTCTAGGTGAGAGAACTTTTTGTGTTAGATCTAAAGTTTTAACTCTAAACATAAGTCTTTCAATACTTTCAGGCATAGACAGGCCAGAGGTTCAGAATGTGTTATGAACTTGTGTACTACTACTAGTTAGTCACCAGCTATAGCAATCATACTGTTCATGGGCTGATCATGATTTATCTCTTTATGTTATAATTAGATGTGACAAAGTTTTAATAATTACTAAATATGAGTTTAATCATTTATATTCCAATAAAAACAACATAATGAATTGAAAACACATGTTACATACACTTCACACTTATTTTCTTTTATTTGTCTTCTACTAATATAATGTATCAAAAGAAGCAGTAAACTTTGCTGTAAGCCTTTGATCGCATTAATTTAAGTCACCCAACCTACAAAAATTGGATGAACAAAATTTTTTTTTGGGTGCACCATATAAGATAAAATAAGTTGAATATCAACAAAAACTTATTATATTTCAATTCTAAAGAAAAGTACTATAACAAAGATTTTTTTGACATTGATATTAAGAATATGCTGTATACTACTATACATTGAACATACCTAAACCTACGAAAATACTTGCGTGCACTGGTGCACCCACAGAAAAAATTGGGTGCACAGCTCCAAATTTGGCACCCAGTATTTCGAGCCCTGTGTTGAGTTTGACACTAGCTGGGCACTGACAGTCTGGAAAATATCACATGCTTGTTTCCATGATGGTTTCTCTGGTCTCTGCCTGGTGAAGCCTGTCTGCATGGTTACAAACCCACACCACCTTCCCGTTGAACCTGTCTGGTCTGTCAGCATACACGTGGTGTCCGGCATCCCGAATGTACTGTACATGAAAGTTAGAAATCAAAGTTGTGAATTGTATTGTTTAAAGGGTATAAATCAATAAATTTAAATTTGAATTTTTATTCAGTAAGGCACTCGCGAGCAGACACCCGAATTTCCTCCTAATTACATAGGTACATAACACATTAAAACAATGATTTGTTATACTCCCGAAACACGACAAACACACTATAAAAACATTTAAAAAACGATTTTACAAATTGTTACCTTTCTTGATACTAGTATGCAGACATATAAAAGTTCCTGTATTCCTTAGAAATGCATTTGTCCTTGCCACTACTGCTATTTCATGCATCTTGTTTTATAACCAAGGAGGTTTCACCACCATAACCTTGTACAAGCTGAACTCAGTGTTAAGATGTGTACTTTTTAGACGAAAACAAATTTTACTCTAATTTTGAGTCTAAAATTGTACATCTGACATTTAGCAACTCTCTTCATACCAGGGAAATCTAGCAGAAGTTTCTAGCAGGGTAAATATCTTTTAATGCCACAGAAGAGTCACCATAAGGATTACTAGTTGTGCTGTGTACCTAAACCCACATTTAGGTCCAGGTCTGGATTCAAGTCCAGAGGTTTAGGTTCAGTTTCAGACTCGTAAGTCCGAACCTAAACCCATGGTATATACAAAATTGCATGTTGGCAACCTTGCAATGTTGTCTGGGTGAAACTTTGGCCACATAACATGGAGGCCGGTACTTGACAATGCCCGATGGCAATGTTTTCTTCATTTTGCAGCACAGATCTTGCAATCTATGGAAGGTTTTGGTGGCTTGGAAAGGAAGGGGGTATGTGACATGTTTTTTTGTTTTTGTAATAAGTCCAGAATCGGTTCTTGACTTCTAGGTTTTTTGGATTTGAACCTAAACATGTGAACTAGTACACAGAACTAATTACCAGTTCATACACTACAATACAAATTCTCACCATTACGTCTACGTAAGAATCCTTCCTGAGAATCTCGGTCTGTTTCCCCGGCCTGCTGTCCATCCACGACTCGCCGCCAAAGATGAAGGTGATGGGCACGTCCTCCCTGAGCTGGGACATGCGGGGAAGCATGGCGTTCCTGGCAAACCCGTACGGGACTTGCAAGTGACCGAAGGCCGTCTCTGCACTGAAATATACAACAGGAATACAGGTACAAAACTTGGATAAACAAGAACTGCATCAATGTTACTGCTCTGTTTACTGCTGTACATAATACATGTACCTTAGGCCACACCAATTTAATTTGTTGGTTTGCGGATGCCCCTCTTAATTTTTTTCTGATTTGCAAAAAAAAAAAAGATTCTGGTTCTGAATGAACTCAAAAATGCTCATATTTTGCCAACAGTTGAGGAAAGTCCTTTTCCTTATCACAGCCTTTTGTGTTGACTTCATGGCACCTATCATAGCATTTGTGGCTATAATAGGATGCATTAAATAGGAAGCATTAAATCCAAGAACCAACAAATTGAATTGGTGTGCCCTTATGTAGTTGTTAATAAAATTGAGTGTATACTACACTGTATATGTACCAATTTTGATATGTGTGTGTGGTTTTAAAACTTGTGTCATGTGCCTCACCCCCACCATGTTGACTCTCCAAGGGTTATTGGACTAGCCCTGTTATAGGGTTAAAATTCACTGACAAATCGTTCATGCAAAAATCAGGTATCTACTGTAAAAAGGAAAACAAGACTTTTGATCCAACATACAGGGTAAAAAATCGTAAAGCAGCCAACCCCAACTGAGGATGACACTATTTTATATAGCAACCACTGCAATCATCTTTGTTAAGATGATTGCAATCCCAGCTACGACTGCGGAATGCCCACCACCTGCACATCCCCCGGGGTAGAACAAACACCTACAAAAACAGTTTCTTCCTGTACACTGCACGCCTGTGGAACCATCTACCCAGTGAAGTCACAGGGTCCGCCACAGTTAGAATTTTCAAGGCCAAATGCAGGAACCACCTCTCATCAGATTACTAACTTTTGAACAACTTTTTAACTTTTCTGACTTTCCAACCGTTCCATCTTCCCCTTCCACTTTTGACTATAGATATTATTATGATTACTATATTAATTTGATGATGTGACTTCGATATTGTATAATGTATTGTTTTGTTTTGCTATTTTGATATTCGTAACTTGTTGTTATGTCCAGTATATTGTATTGACTTGTCCTGTGTTGTGTTGTATGTACCAGTGGCAGCCGCCACCAGCCTTTGCCTTGGCTGCCTGGCTCCCACTTGTAATGCGTTGTTTGGCATCACCAATAAATGAAATGAAATGAAATGAGATGAGTGACCTATTATATAAAAACAATGATGACTTTGCTACAGCAGAGCTGCATAAATGGTTCATACTATCCTGTTCACTTAAGTGAATGTGACATTGTGAATCACACTATCCCTATAACTTGTCATTTTGATTTTCATGAATGCCCTTTCTCAACAGTTTAGAATGGAAGGAAACCTCTCTAGCTATAAGTACCTTGGGGGCTGTGCATTGCAGTGGTATAGGTAGTCAATGATTGTGAAGTCCTCAAAGGCATCAGTAAACTTGGCTTGAAGATCTGGACGTGCCTTCCGTATTAGCCTGGGTCCTATAGAAAACATGATAGGGAGAATGTAAAACAAACCAATGTATTTTTGTTCTATGATGTGTACTCCATACATTTGGGAATCATTTGGACAAAACTGATTTTCTTTCAGAGAATTCGTTGCTCAGGACACATTGACTTTCAGAAAGTACATGTATGATGCGAGCCTCAGGTCAAAGATATTTTAATATTTAAAAATATAAGGCCACACCAATTTAATTTGTTGGTTCTCGGATTTGTTCAGAAAAAAATATGAAGCGACAGGGCGAAAAAAAATAAAAATAAAAACAGGTCTAGGCATCCTATTATAGCCCCAAATGCTGCAATATGAGCCATGAAGTCAACAAAAAAGGCTGGGGTAAAATTTAAAGTATAAATTTTGAACTTTTAATCAAACCACTGCATTGATAGATGGAAAAAACTGTAACAATAGGAAGAAAAGGAATTTCCTCAACTGTTGGGGGCAAAATATGAGCATTTTTTAGTTGTTTCAGAACCAGAATCTTTTTTTTTTTGCAAATCAGAAAAAAATGAGGCGAATCCGAGAACCAACAAATTAAATTGGTGTGGCCTAAACGACTAATAATTTTATATGATGAAAGTATGAAATGATGACGAAAATATGATAAGAAATGGCAGTAAATGTCAATATCAGATATCCTTATCCAGAATATTTTTTTGTTTTTGTTTTGCTGCCCTGAAATAGCATGGGTATCGCTTTTATTTTGTGTATGCTGTGCGCCTATA